TCCGTGTGCGATTGTTTTCTCTGGGGATATTTGAAACAAAAAGTGTTTAGTACGACCGTGGACACAATAGATGAATTTCAAAGAAGGATCACAAACACATGTCAAACAAATACACCCGAAATGCTGAAAAATGTAGAGCAGGAATTTTTAAGAAGCATGGAAAATTGCATATTAGTTGATGGAAAAAACATTGTGGGAAAAGTAAGAATTTAGTAGCAGTGTTTTCACACACATGGTTCGTTTTAGAGCTATTGTGATGTATAAAGAACAACCAAGAAATCTCTCCGCGGTGTACCTGATGGTAACGCTAATGCCGACGGCACATCAAATTTGAAATTTAACATCTCGACATTGGCTAATGCGAAATACACGTTTTGGTAGTGTTCTGAAAACGTTTTAACGTCAGCTACAAGAATATGTAACAAAAAGTATGGATTTCCATTTAAAAATTTAACCGTAACTTTCATAAAGCTTTCCAAGGTCACCGCAAAGTTAAATAAATACAGGCATTACATGTCCTCCCTAGTACCCTACAATTTTTGTCTCAAATATTTTTCCGTGTAATCCATATTTCTCAAGATATTTACAGGTTCTCAGATAAATAACACACGCACACACACACTCATACACACACGCGAGTACACGCACGCAACACGAACGATGTACACAGTGGCTACTGACTTCATGGAGACTTGGTAAACACGTGTCACGTTATACGAATTGTTTTTCATTTGGCAGCAATTCATTCGTGTGCATATTTTTTTTTTTCATCTTTTTCAATAGAAACTTATTATACTTGGCTCGAAGTAACGCTTATTGCCGAAATTGCACAGTGAAAGTACTGGTTCCTCAAAAAAAAAAGTCTGCCCTCTAGCAACGCATATATCGATCCGTACTCTCGAATCGGACTGCATATACATGTATCGATCGTATTCTCGATCGAAATCGACAGGTCCTGAGAATAATTACGGTTATAGCCACACGAAAAAAAATAAAGATGCGAAATGTATATATATATATATATATAGGTTAGGCTCACGATTAATGTCAAAACAGTATGGTCGAACACGTTTTCGTTTTATTCCTCGGCAAGCGGAAAATTAAAAACAGGTGTCTCGTCGAAAAAAAAAACGTGTTTCTCTTGGTTTTTTTTAGGTTAAATCGTAGCTATATATATTTATTACTAAAAGTACATGCGGATTTTCGTACCGTGGCGTGATTACGTCTTTACTATCAGGATCTTCGTATCGATTTAAGCGTAATAATGGCAGAAAAGAAGAAAATTCTTTCTTTTCACGACAAACCTCGTTTCACACGCGAAGTAAGACTAAAAAACAATGCGCAATTCATTTTATTTTGTTTCGTTTTTTCCATTTCTTATCTTTGTTTCTCTTCAGTAAGGCACCCCCAGTGCTGAGTATAATTCACGGAAGTAGTACAGCGACAATACAAACTAGTGACTAGATCATTTTTAAGTCACGCGAGAAACGGAGAGACAGGCAGATAGACAAATAGATAAAAAAAAGGAAAGCAGCAAAAGAAGAAGGCAAAGAATAGTGTAGGAAATATTGTGCGAGGTAGAAAGAGAAGAAAAACACATAATAGACAAGAACAGTTTGATAGGTACAAGTAGATGGCGGTAAAGAAATCGGATTGCACGTGACGAATGTAATGGTGAACAGTCGAAGAGAGAAGGAAAATCCATGAATCTTTTAATGAACAAATAACACAAAAAACAATTCTTTCAAATTTATTTTTTCCATTTGGAAATTGTCACACCAATGGAAATCACCTTTACACAGTGAGTGTCTACATTTTCCTTCTCCTCTTGCCCTCTCCATACCTCTGCTACGATCATTCCATGCTGTGTGCAATTGTCGAGAGAGAAATCGTAGAAGGGGTAGGACATGAAATAGAAAAGGACAATAAGAAAAAAAGTGGAAATAAAAAGAAGTAATCGCTGATGGGTAAAATAGAAAAACATACACAAGGATAGAAGAAACAAAAATGAAGTAAACATAAATAACAACTAAACACAGAGGGAAGGCAGTGGTGCGTTACTTTGGTAAATCTTGTTAATTGGTGTCTCGCACGGATCAACTGAGGTGTGTCCGCAACGTCTCGTGGGCAGAAGGTCATTGTCATCGTCATCGTCGTTATTCGTCGAATTTATCTTTACCATTTTAATCCTGACGGACGCTGTACTTATTATCGATCAACGGTAAGAAACATAAAAGCATGGAGATAATGACGAGGACCTGACTCGCGTCACGATTTTACTTTTTTCTTTTTTCTTTCATTCTTGACTAGGTTAGGAATGATCCCCTTCCTCCTTCATGCCCGAGGATCAACAACGATGCACGATCTAGTGTATCCAGTGTGTGCCTGTGCATGTTCATTTTGAATGCGCTGGCCACGAGAAAAAAATAAGGATGAGGATTTTTTTCTGTTGGTATGTGTCTGTGTTTGTGTGTTTGTGTTTGTGTGTGTGTGCGCGCGTGTGTGTATGTTTTTACACATCGTCAGAGAGGATCGAACATGGCACAACGATGACAGTCGTCGTGGCTGCTGTAGTTGCTGAATTACATTTCCCCCCTTCCACTGTCTAAACGGCGGTCTCGGTGTGACTGTGACTTGAAAGCCTTTCCACATCTATTGGTATGGGCAGCTCGTTCGGGTTGTTGTCGGCGTATTCGATGCTGCTCGTCTGCGAAAGCCGCTTCGACTGTTTCAGTACCTCCCCCAAAGTGTTGCTGCTGTGCTCGCTCCTGTAGCGCGGGTCTGTGCCCTGCCGAAATGCGTTCACTACACGGATCTGTAACCGGAAACCGTTCTTTCAACACATGCGAGCTTCGTTCGTCCCTCTCGCTGTGCCACAACGTCAGGGATACACCGTTAGATAAAAGTCACTCAGATGTAGTCGAGGTTGATCCTCTATCCTCTCACCACCATCGACATTCTTTTTTATGATTTTTTTTTTTTTAAGAAATCCCTTGTGGGCAAGCTGTGACTGAATCTCAAGAATTAATCTTCTCCAAAGTAATACGGTACATCTATTTATTTCTATATTATTGTTGGGTATCCCTCGTGCGTCTGAATCTTTTATTTTTTTATTTTGTTCTAGAAATCGGGAATTCTCTCTGGGAACTATAATTTTCCCCAGACGAGCAAGGCACGAATGTCGATAGTACATGTAACGAAGCTTTGAAGCGACATTAAGTGATCAGCGCTGGAAAGCACAATTATTCTGTAAACTATAAGTTATGAGAGAATAAATACTTGTTACTTTTGTTACGGTTACGTTCTTTTTTTTCTGTGTGTAGGGGATGCGATGATCAACCTCTGCAAAAAAACAGATTAGGGGACAGTCATGTAAGATATATAGATATAGTTATGTGTACGTATAAAGAGACAGAAAGCAGCGGCCACACGAAATTACTAGAACTAGCGGGGCGTCGATAACCCTGCACAGCAAGGCAATAATTAGACATAGAATCTGAGGGAGTGACGTGATCAGTAGTATCAACATAAACTTAGTGACAAAATTCTTTTCCTATCATTTTGCTCCAATTATTCCAGAATAATCTTATTTGTCTTCTCTTGCAGAGCAATGAATTCATTAGTCATTAACGTCACCGCCCCAGATTATGCTTGCAATGTCACGCAACACCACATGCACCCGTCGATCGTCGGAATCTTGCAGGCGATCTCGTTTCCACGTCAAATTTTTTATGAAAATGGGATCGTCCGTTATTTCAGACACGCGGGATCATCGTTTCGATGCGGGAAGCGGATATGCGAGGCTTCAAGCTTCCTCCAACTTACTCCAACTTACTTTAACTTACTCCAAGCATAATTTCAATTATATCCATCATATATGCCTTTTTTTATCAAATAAAAAAAAAATATAGAAAAAATTCATTTTAAGGCTCTCAAGGCTATTACACGCTGTTACAAAGCAAAATAATACATATAAAAGGTACCTTTATGTCGTAGTAGAAAAAAAAGTGGAAAATAATGGGTAAGGAACTCCACGCATATACACTTGCATCGTCTTGGTGAGCTGTAATATAGCGTGACAAATTGCAGACTGCGAACTTTGGCATGCATTGGCGTAGTATCGCGTAATCGACGAACATACTGCTATTTCATCAATTAGCCAACAACTGAATTCCCCCGGATGGTAAAACAACAATCCCCATCCGATAAGAACACCTGTTAGATTACACTTTTCTTTTTCTTTTTCTTTTGCTCGACACGTATAGATATTACACAGATAAATATGAAATAATAATGTACATATAATATGTATGTATGTGCATATATATTCCTCAAATACATACATACATACATATTATATATGTATATATATATATCTCTCTCTTTTTTTCTTCCTTCCTTTCTTGCATTTTTATGGAGGTGGCAGGAAAATATGTCGCGTTAATTATTCACTGTATGCTTTATATTTTTTCTTTTTCGATAGTTTTGCTGTTTCTTAATTATTACTTTTTTTTTTATTATTTTTTTGTTTGACAGAAAACATTAAGGGAATACTTACACGATGCGCCGTGGAGAGAGGTCCCCTAATCAGGTTGACAGTCAGACTTAAACCTGGCCGAATATCCGGTTTAGCGTATTTGCTAATGCGTCTCACTTCCGGTATTTTTACAACATGCACGCTACAACGCGCAGTGCGCTTTGCTGATCAACGATTCTGCACACTCCATAGGAGACAAAACGGTCGTCGTGCCAACAATTTGTTTATTCGTTCACTTTCTCTTTGTTTTTCCGTTTCCTCAAAATTCACATTCTCTTTTCTATTCTCTTGTTTCACTTTTTTTTTCTCTGTTTTGTTAGAGCAGCTCCAGGTCGACACACGTGTGGTCGTCTGGTGATTCCCCGCTTCACGAGCGACACGCTCTCTCTTTCTTTCTCTCTCTCTCTCTCACACGCACAAACACACACACACACAAGCACACCATATGTGATATCCTCGAGAATTGCTCTTCACTATGGGGTACTTCTTTCTTCGACTTAATCGTAAGATAAAGAGAAATAATTATTTTTTCGATACTTTATTGTTGGTTGCGAGACAAATTTTTCAGGACTGTCGATAACATCGTTTCCCGGCTTATCGATGGTTGGTAAAAAAAAGAGGGTCGATGGGGTCCAGAGAAATGTCGCGTCGATCGTGCCGCGAGAATCAGCCAGAGCACACAAATTTGTGAAAAGAAAGAGAGAAAAGGGTGAACACACACAGTGGCAAAGAGTAGAAAAGAAGGATCCTGTAGTCTGTGACGGATTGAAAATAGACCTTAGCACGTGTGTAGTCGAAAATTATCGTGAATTCACTGATTTATACACATTTGCACAAATTTTCTGAAAAAAAAATTCTGTACATAATTTTTAGTTCTGAAAAATAGTCCTTAGAGTAATCATACTGTTTGCAAACTGTCATCAGGACTTTTGCAGGTTTACCAACTTGTGTTGACATAAATTTTCAGTGGAGTACCTCTCCACAATATTCTTTTATTGTATAAAAAAAAAACTCGAGAGTTTTGCTGAGATATTATAATGGTTCTTCGATTATCAAGAATTAATAGTGTCATCCCTAGAAAGTGTCAAAGGGAGAAATAGAATCGCACACGGCGTCGCTAGAAACTGTAATTTGAACGATTTTACAAAATCCATCGGGGTGGGAAGGTTTGTGTCCCCATGACTGGAAATACTTCCACTTATTATGGTAGAGAAAACGTGTAATTATAAGTACTAGAAAAACGTGGTAAAATCGTATAATGCATGGAACAATAGTAACGTGCCGGTGGAACACGACGTGGATCGTGTAAATGATTGTAAAAAAGGAATGTGACACAGTATAATTCTAACTACTACCAGTTCTGCGTACATTCATCTGGTTTTACTTTAATCATCTTTGATGTATAATGTTCTCTTAACCTCTTTCAGGACATTGTCATTATTTCTTTTCATTTTTACTGAATATTTTCAAACTGAATTCTATCGTTTTTAATGTTATTAATAAAAATTCGCACCTTAAGAGGTTAAGACAAGTTTTCAAATGAAATTTTCACTATAAAGATTCGGGCGGGAGGACGTGCTAGAGAGAGCTCCAGGGTAATTCAAATGTGAAATATAGAAAGAGTGATAAATTATTAGTTTCACTTTAAGTGCTTTATACTAATACTAAGTTAATTTAATTTAGCTGCTAAGAAAAATTCAAACAGATAATAAGGCTTAGTGATCGAGGAGAACAAAAGTGGGCCGCCTAAATGGCGGGAAGACAAAAAAGTATGGTAAACAAATAAGGAATAAAGAAGCATTCCCCAAAAAATTATCATGAAATGGAGAGGAATTAATGAAGATAAAGGAGATATCAACGAAATGGAGGAAATTGAAATAGGAGAAGTAGAAACAGGAAGAGAAAAAGACGCAAGTAACAGGACAGCCGAAGAGATACTGAAGGAAGAGAAGATACATACAGAGAAGGAAATGAACTACACAAAAGAATCAACAAAGAGTCAAGGAAATTATCGTGAAAGGAAGGAAGTGACTGGGAAAATGGACAGGTTTCGTCTAGCCAGTGAACAAAGTGAATTCATAAAAAATTACGAGGAGGTTACTCCACAACGTAAGAAATGTGAAATTCTCAAATCAGATCTAGGGAATACGATTATAGTGACAATGGATTCGGAACCCACCGTTACAAAGGGGGAAGAACCATAAAACGGGGTGAAAGGAATGCGCACAAACGAAGCAAGTTATAGAGAACTGAGAAGAAGTATAGAAAATACAAAGTCTGTTTTGATTGCAGCAAACAAAAATATAAATAGTTCAGAAAGTATTGTAAATAGTAGTATTAAGAGTAGTGTCAGAAGTCATTTAGAAGGTAAGAATAGTAAGTAGCAGGATAGAAACAATAGGCCAATACGAAGAGGAACTAGATAGCAAGGAAATATCTAATAGAAATCCGGGTAAAAAGTAATTTATTAGGTTAAACTCGTAAAAAGCTAACTTGTTAAAAAAATTTATAGGTTAACAACAAGTAAGAATCTTTGCCCTACAAAGTGTGAGGATGACTGGATTCAGCAAAGCAGAAATCACATACTCCAGTAGAGAAAAAGGTAAACGAAATGACAGAATATGCTAACAAAAAGGATAGTATTTTTTCAGTTAGTATACCAAGGAGAAAAAGAATTAGACGAGGAGTAATAAAGGAACAGCTGGGGTCAATAGAATAAGTCAAGGACCAGCTAATGCCTGATCAAGGAATTATAAAAATGGAAAGGCTAACAAAAACCAAGAATCTTAAATGGCAAAGTCACATGGGAGGAGAGCGTGGCCCTATTAGTCACTCTCAGTGGCAACTCGCTACCAACTATGTAGACTGACTATAAGTTGGGGTCACGTTTGGCAGAAACAGTGTTTCAAATCTTATAAATTTGGCCGTATCCAAGTAAATTGCAAATATACAGATTAAAGAAGTGCTTTGTTTGTGCAGAAAAATCACACAGCGAAACAAACCTAGATGTGTAAACTGTGGTAGCGAACACTAGAGTGTGGCAAGAGAGTGCCTTGTATATCAGAGAGAGAGAGAGAGAGAGAGATAATTAGTTACAAGAAAAATTGTGGCATAGAAGCGTAAGCTACAAAGAAGCTGGAGATATACCTATACGTAAAACTGGAGATGAAAACCACAAGGGATATTTAAACAGAAAGGGCAAAAAATGGGGAATGATTTCCCCGGAATAAAACGTCCCATAAAGGTCGAAAGATGGGAAAATTTGGACTATCCGTTGC